GACATTTATATACACATACATAGAGGAGGGTATGTGCATGGGAGATATGTTCCCCGGAACTTTTGATAAAATCCATTAATAAAATCCATTTTTCCATCACTAATTCATTTACAACTAAAAAAAGCACACAGGTAAATTTAGGACTTTCATTTTGATAATTTCTTATCATTTGAATGGGAGCAATTCTTAACCATTGTGTTTAGTTATAAACTTTGGTACCGTCTCCTTTTGCGCTGAGATTAAACTGTCTTTGTACAATGTGATAACCACGTATTTTAATAGTTATCGACAAAATCCAATGACATCAAGAACACTCTCAAGCCTACCTGGATCTCTGTTTTTTCACTCTGCGCTCGTCTTCCCTCGGAGCACGGACCCCTGCGCAGATACGGAGCCTGTCCCCTCCCTGTGCTTTGGTGCATTGCTCTCCTTGATAGAGCGGCATCCTTAGCTTTTGTAATATTTCACTTAGTGGCAACTGAAGAAAATCACTAGCCTGGGCTTTACCTGGGAACTTCAGAAGGTTGTTGTGGAACTGTCAGGAAGGTGGAGCAACCAAAAAAACTGTCTCACAGATTGTGCACCCAGAGCTCACCCAGATCTTTAAACACTAAGCAGACTTGGTGATCTCACCTCCCAGCTCATAACAGATGAACACAGCATATTAGAAGGAAGTGGGAGCCTGTTAGAAGCAGGTGTATTGATAGGTATAGTAAGAAACCACTATATAGGCAAAACAAATGGCTTAGCAGACATAAATTTTTTATGTTAAAAAAAAAAAACCACACCAGCAGTCTGAGGCAAATGATTATATATACCTTGGGGCTGAGGGAACCACTTTATAATAATATCAATTTGTTATAGCCCTTTACAATTTATGATTTTACATACATCAGAGCTCATTAGATACTTGTAATAACACATGAATATAACTTTTACTTTTTATCATGAAAAAGTGAATTATACTGAGCATGCTGTTTAAGAAGAAGGCAGGTAAGGTATACTGACATATCTGAAAGACTTGCATCAAAAATAATTACAGGTTTTAAATTTTGGCACTTAAAGAGATATGCATTATTACCCCAAAATTAATATATATGTTTTTCTTCATGACCAACACGGTGTTACTGAGTGAATTTTCATAGCTCTCAGTGACTGCTGGTCATTAAATGGGGATGATTGTCACCAGTAAGTTATCAGACTATCCTGTTAAACGGAAGCTTAACAGGTACTTATGGATGCCAACACCATATATTCTAATATGGGAAACACTAGGCTCCTAAAAGATTCTCTGAGTGTTTTTCCTATATTGCACTTTCTAGAAAACAGCTTTAACAATGATGTGATGTGATCCTGGTTCTAGATATAGGAGTGCGGAACGGGTGATTGACCTTTTCCATGCTTGTTTTCCTGAAGTTTTTGGTATAGCCTCTCTTCAGGGATGTAACAAGGAGAAACAACAAGATATACATGCTCTTTGGGCTTCTGAGAAAAAAAGACCACAGACATTTTCAAAAGATTAAAATACAGGTCTCTTCTGCATCAGCCATTTCATTTTCACAACTGAAAATAAAGAACTACTGTGGAGTTGATGTTTTTAAAGTCATTCAACATAGCTTTGCCATAAATATACTACTCTGCAGAAAGCTTTTAAAAACAGCAATATAATTTATACTATACTTACCAACAATTATACTACTTATCAATTATACATTTACCAAGTATCATGAATAAAAATAACTAAATAAAATTTCTGAGTTAAAAAACACCAAATTAGACTTTATACTGTAAGTGAAATGGGACCTCAAAATCTTAAGTGTAATATCCCCCAATATTAATAGTATAGCATTCCTGATGCCCTTTAATTTTTTAATATTACCTGATGACTTTTTGATCATGATCATACCTCAGGGGACTTCCCTGGTGGCTCAGAAGGTAAAGCATCTGCCTGCAGTGTGGAAGATCCGGGTTTGATCCCTGGTTCAGGAAGATCCCCTGGAGAAGGAAGTGGCAACCCACTCTAGTACTGTTGCCTGGAAAATCCCACGGATGGAGAAACCTGGTAGGCTACAGTCCATGGGGTCACAAAGAGTCGGACACGACTGAGTGACTTCATTTTCCTTCTATACCTCAAAGAAGACAAAAATTACTGAGTTTGCTGGCTATTAATTTTTAATTCTCATCTGTGTGACTGTACAAAGCTATTAATCCTCCATTTTTCTTTATAGTTATTTCTCCTACTTGAGGGTTTTTAGTTAGGTATGGACTGTATGTACGCCCTGCAGTTTATGGCACTAATTCTAATAGAAATTGTCAATCTTGTAAATGTTCTTTTGCATAGTAAAGAAGATAGCCAGCTCTGTAATAAAGGACTGCCAGAGGGTGTTAAACAGGTAAATAAATAGGCCAGTTCACCATCCATTACAAACTAAAGGGCAAAATGGTTGGGTGGTAAGCACAGGCTGGGAACTAAGACACGGGGTTTGAAATCTAGTACATGCCAGCTCTGTGCTCAGGGCAAATCACTTAACCTGAGTCTCCATTTCCTCCACAGTAAGTGGGTGCTCACGTCACCTACCTTGCAGTCTTTGTGAAGGTTAGTAGTAAAGTATGTACATTATTTGACATATGATAAGATACTCTATAGTGGTTTAAGAATCATGTACTGAAATTTAGAGTTGGGCAACATTTGGGCCCAGTATCTAACATGGAGTGTTCTCCAAAGGAGATGCAATATATAGAAACTTCTTATAACCATTGTACTTGGTAGCTTATTTTTATTATCAGCATTAGGTATTTTTGTCTCCAAAACTTTATTTTCTTTTAAATAAGTATTTTTTTAAAAGTTTATGGCAAACTTGTTTTTCAGTGTGTACTTTTTATGATGACTAAAAAAATTTACAATTTTTATTTTAACAACCATGGTAAAGAAAAAAGATCTAATTTTTAAAATTTGTCCTAGAGCCAACATTATCCAAGTGATATATAACCTCTATGTGTGTAAACGGCTGTCTGGTAGGTTCTACAAAAAATGTCATTTTTATTCATGCATTTGGGTTGCTTAAATATTTCTATAAGATTTAAAACAGTTTCTCCTTATTGCTGGAATTCTCAGCATCAATACTCCCATGCCTTTCTTTTTCAGTCTATTGGCCAGTTTAAGGGTATCCATAGTAATATAACTTAAAGACAAAAAAAAGTGTTCATAAATCTTTAACAGCCAGCATAATACAGTAGAAATTGCCCTGAGCAAGGAATGGATAAACTTGAATTCAAGTCCTGGCTCTGCCACTAATTTTGCAGGATGACCTTAGCTAAGTCACTTAACTTCTACATTCATCAAATAATGAGATTTCGTCCATTTTAAGACTTCTAAAATTGCTTTCATTTGCTTATTTTTTAAACTATCAAAACACCTTCTGGGAGTTGTGGTAAGCACCGGATGGGTACAGAAATATTTACTGATGTAGTAATGTTTCAAGCTGTGATCTAGGAACCATCTGAATATAAATTATTTGGGGTTACTATTAAAAATACAGATTCCTGTCCTCTCCCAGGCTGTATCAGAACCTCCTAAGGTGAGGGTCAGATTCCTCTATTTTTCACAAGCTCCTCAATGATTATTGGAGAAGGGAAAGGCTACCCACTCCAGTATTCTGGCCTGGAGAATTCCATGAACTATATATAGTCCACTGGGGTCACAAAGAGTTGGACACGGCTGAGCAACTTTCACATCAATGATTATAATGCACCCTCAATGTTTGAGAGCCACTGGCCTAAAAGAATATGTTCTAAGAGGGAAAAAACTAGCATGTGGCTCAAATTACACTAACCTCTGGCAAAATCTCCTTTAAAGACAATCCCATTGAAAGCGGAGAAGACGAGAAAACAGCTGCCTGCGTCAGCAGAGTGGTCAGGCTTGTGCCTGGCCCTGGAATGGTGCTTCTTCCTTGCTGTGCTCCAGAACAGAACGCAACAAGGGCTTGACAGCCAAGTCACTGACTGCCACGGTCATGACAACAGCTTGAAGACAAACGGAAGTTCTCCCTTCATTAATAGTGAGAGCTGAACTCAAGGAAAATGAGAAAAACACAACTCTCTTTACTCTCAATTTTCCCTCCACCTGTCATTCTGTGTGATGCAAATAACCTGGTGGAGGAAACAGAAAATCTAAGCTACATTGTTCTCATCACTCTGTGGCCAGATAGACAGTATACTAATTTAATAAATAAATTCTCTTCATACAATAGAAATGACCCAAGCCCCTTCCTTCCTCTCTTTTTTTTCTAATGCTGTTGACAGGAACAAAATATCAACTAAGGACATATGCTGTAGATTTAAAAATGCATACAAATACAGTAAATTACAAAGAGAGGTGGTAATGTTTTTTCTAGAATTTCACAACAAAATTCCTCTCATGGTAAAAAACATGTATAATTTTGACAGGAAACCTAAAAGACATTTTGCTGCAAGACTGTCACAGTCGTAAGGATAATGCCATCATCTGTGCTCATTATAGAGAAACTAACAGCAACTTTTAAAGGCCAAGAATACTGATAAGTGAAGATGAAATTTTTTTCCAGCAACCAGTATGCCAACATCAGACTTCCGGGTTTTATTCAATACTAGCATCACGAGTTTCTCCTAATACAACCAAAACTCCTGCCAAATGTCCACAAAATTCACACCAAAATCAAAAACAGAAAAGAGAATTAAAAGAGAGGGACCTTACAAAGCTACCAGCAGAGCTGGAGTGTAGTGGCACGGGTCAGCAGGAGCGAAGGAACGCTGCAAAAGATGTTGCTGCCTGGAGTCTAACTTGGCGATGCCTCGTGATGCTGGATGATCAAGTACTCAGGTCACAGGTATGTTCGTGGACCCCTAAGAACCAGGATCTTGACCCAAACTTTTAAGATCTTCTAAAAAGAAAATACTTCACCTAAATTGAAGTATATAGAAGTTGAACACCAGTAGAGTTCCTTATTTGACGTAAGTTGTGCCTAAAACTTTGGCTGATACAAAGAAACCCGTCCACTAAGGCACCCAGAGGCGATCTGACAATGTGTTGGAGAGAACTTTGTTGTCAGTACCACATCATTGTGAGAGTACAGAGAACGGATCACCCGCAGGGGATTGGCTTCTTTGGGCAAACAGTCAATAAGTTCACTGCATTGTTTGTCAAACCCCAGCAAGCGGATCCCATATCCGTGTGGGGACGAAATCATTCGCCCATCAGGGCTGAAGCAAAGTTCTTTGATATAACCCCTGCCTACATTGGCTTCTTCAATGTAATGAGTCAGGCGTAGAGAACAGCGAGGTGCGACTGGTCTCACGGGTGCTCCTTCTTGGAATTCATAGACACAAGTCCACTAGAGGGGGAGAAGAGAGACAAAGTTACAGAGCCTCATAAATGGAGCATAATCTTTAAAAACTGTGAATAACCATAGTCAGCTGTAACTTATATACTGCAGCACAGCAACTATGCTTCAACTAAAATTAATTCAAAAGCAAAGTTACAGAGCCCCAAACAGCGCCACAAATAATCTTTCTTTCCCCCAAAGGCTCAACAGAATGCCACAGCTACATCCCTGCTGCAAGAAAACATCCAGATGAATGCTACCCCTCTCCCAATTAACAAAATCTGCAGGCCCCACACTGTCTTATCTACATTCAAATCAAGGTTATTGCTGTACTGTGACACTTTGAAGCATTTTATTCCCTGAGGCTACTGTGACTTCTAAAGTAATAATTCCCCTTTCTGACAGTAACAGCAACCTTGATATTTTAGGGTTAAGATATCTAAGCCCTAGACTACCTCTCCTTCTACACACTTCGAAGACTCTTCTCTCCTTCTGTTAGCTGTGGCTTCTGGAGCCAGTGAGATTCTTGGAAGATACTAGCTTTCTAGAGTAAGGAGGATCATAAGGTCATAGAAGACCTTTTCCCCTGGTTATCAGTTCAATCCCTTCCTTTCCCAAAGCTTTCTGTTTTTGTTTTTTGTCTGTGCTGGGTCTTAGTTACAGTATGCAGGATATTAGTTGTGGCATGTAGGGTCTAGTTCTCTGACCAGGGATTAAACCCTGGCTCCCTGCAGTGGGAGCATACAGTCTTAGCCACTGGACCACCAGGGAAGTTCCCTCCCTAGTTTTTAAAAAGAGAAAATCATAATACTCCATTGACTTAGCAAAACCTCCCATTTAGTCAGCTTAGCTCAGTCCTGGGTTTACTATGTAAGAGGTTTTTTACAATGAGATGAAGGAGGCAAGAATTAAACTGGGCTTAATCTGAGCTGATGACTGCTTTAAAGTATCTCCCACTTGCCAAACCCAGGCCAGAGAGGAGGAAGAAGGATTCTGAAGGGATAAAGACACCATGAGCACACATGGCAATGGTGGTTTGTTCAGTCAGCCCCGTTGAAGGAGCAGTGCTGCCGCCCCGTACCTCCTGATCATCAGTGTTGCTTGAGCACCGAAGAAGAGTGGCCCAGCCTTTTGGGTGCAGCTGTAAGGATGTGATGCAGTTTCCACGGTCTCTCTCACCAGGAACTTCAGGGGTTAAGACTTCAAGACTATTTCGTGGTGAAATTCCTGAGATATAAGAATATTAGGATGTGGAATTCGCATTATTAAACGACTAAGGCAGCTCATCAAAGCTTTGATTTCTGGCAGCTACCCCATTGGGCTTTTCTTATTTCTTCATCTGCCCTTTACGCTACCACATGTAAATACACTGAGGTGCCCTTTAGTGTATGGGCTATGTCTCTGGAGGTGGGTGTAGGGGAAAGGGTATGACAGGGACAAAAGAATCCAAGTTCCTGCAGCAGGAATCAACGTAATCTATGGCTACGGCAGTAAAGAAGGAAATGGCAACCCACTCCAGTATTCTTGCCTGGAGAATCCCATGGACAGAGGAACCTGGTGGGCTATAGTCCATGGGGTCGCAAAGAGTCGGACACGACCGAGTGGCTGACACACACATGAGGCAGTCAAGCTGACTAGGAGTCCTTTTGATTTGAATCTACATCTCAGAAAGCTATATAAGAATCAAAGTTATATGGTATGAAAGGAATCTGGAAAAGTAAAAGATAACAATTCTTATCTCAGAAGATCTGATGCTCTCTAGTCCAGAGAAAGAAATACTTGGAAGCCATGAGGACTGCCTTTATGTAGATTAAAGATGTATGTAAGGAGCAGGACTTACAGCCCCTAGGAATGTACTATAAACAACAAATTGACCTATAATTTTGGAGGTAATAGAGGAGAACTCACACAGAGACATGTCAAGACAAGGGTTGGGAGATACTGCCAACTGTACATAATCCTGGTACTCTGCTATGGCCATCATTTCTTTCTACCTAGCCACCAGTGAAAGTAACTACTGTAGTGAGCCATTGTTACAAATGGGAGTATGTCATATCCCTCAAGTATGTGGAAAACCACTTTCAAAAACATTGTAAGGAAGCAACTTAAAAATTTAATACCAAGCGAAATATTTCAACAGTTCTGTGCCTATAGAAGGAGTTAATTTAAAAATAATGAACTACCTCTGTCAGACCCTTTGTGAATTATTTCTCACTTAGATGTGGTCTCTTCTTTTGAAAGCTTCCCTTTAGATTACTGCACTGACAAAAACCTGTGATGTTATAAATTAAAGTTACAACCAAATTATATATAAATAATTTCCCATATGATTAAACTTTAACAACAATTTTAGGAAAAAAATCATATTTCAAGAATTAATTTTGAAAATCTACAACCAAAGCAGAAAAGAAACTCATTCTGAACAGGCAGGCAGGGGTTTTTGAGTCTCTGCTCCTTGGAGATTGCCTAAGAGCTGGCTAAGGGAGGAACCACACCGGGTCAGAGTAGAGATGGGGTAGGAAGACTGGAGGGTCAGGGCCTCTCTGATTACACCTGGATCAGTTACTCTACTTTTATTTGTGCTGCTGTTGCTCCGGCTATTTGTGCTACATCCCTAAAAATCCACAGGAGAAATGTTACATATCCAGGCATAAATCTCTAAGAGGAGGAATACTTAACCTTAAAATGAGACAGCACAGTCTTTAACATCCAGAAGACTGGATGATGGATAGTCAATAGGTTAGGTTAGGAAAGACTCTCAAACCATTCTTGGAAGTAGCCATTTGTATGGCTAATAGTAATCAAGTAATCAAATAGGCATTTACCAGGTAAGGCCACCCAGGAAAAACCTTAATTAGAAGTCTAATGTACGGTCTCTCTAAATTTCTAGGTACAAGATATCTCCAAAAGGTGAGGTGACCCAAAACGACAAAAACAAAAAACCCCCTGTATTAGCCATCAGTCCACCAGGAGGAGAACAAACAAGAAGTGTTGTAAGACCTCAAATGTGGGTTACTATGGAGAGGGATGGAGAGAAATTTGTGAGGTAGAAAGCATTTCAACTGAGGGGTAGATGGGCTAGACTAGCCAGATGGTTGTACCAGACTGGCTGGGGGAAAACTGGCAAAAGCTAAGTGGGGCCACATTGTAGCTCACTTTATCCCACAACCCCTGTGAGGCTGCCAGGCATTGCTGAGGTAAGGAAACAGCAGAGCAAGAAGCCTACTGGGCTGGAACCAGGCGACTTTCACAAGCACCTGATAAATCATCCCTTTATTTTATATATTATATATTATATAGCACTATCATATCCATTGCTGTTATTCAGTTGCTAAGTCGTGCGCAACTCTTTGCAACCCCAGGAACTGCAGCACACCAGGCCTCCCTGTCTTTCACCATCTCCCAGAGTTTGCTCAAACTCATGTCCATTGAGTCAATGACGCTGTCCATCCATCTCATCCTCTGTCACCCCCTCCTCCTCCTGCCCTCAATCTTTCCCAGCATCAGGGTCTTTTCCAGTGAATCAGCTCTTCACATCAGGTAGCCAAAGTATTGGAGCTTCAGCTTCAGGCATCAGTCCTTCCAGTGACTATTTGGGCTTGATTTCCTTTAGGACTGACTGGTTTCTTCTTGCTGTCCAAGGGACAGAGTCTTCTCGAGCACCACAGTTTGAAAGCATAAATTCTTTGGTGCTCAATCTTCTTTATGGTCCAACTCACACCATTGTAGATCTGTACATCACTACTGGAAAAACCATAGCTTTGACTATATGGACCTTTGCTGGCAAAGTATTGTCTCTGCTTTTTAATACGCTATCTAGGTTTGTCAGCTTTTATTCTAAGGAGCAAGCGTCTTTTAATTTTGTGGCTGCAGTCACTGTCTGCAGTGATTTTGGAGCCCGAGAAAATAAAATCTACCACTGTTTCCATTCTTTCCCCATCTATTTGCTGTAAAGTGATGGGACCAGATGCCATGATCTTCATTTTCTGAATGTTGAGTTTTAAGCCAGTTTTTTCACTCCTCTTTTACCTTCATCAAGGGGCTCTTTAGTTCCTCTTCAATTTCTGCCATTAGGGTGGTATCATCTGCATATCTGAGGCTGTTGATATTTCTCCCAGTAGTCTTAATTCCAGCTTGTGATTCATCCAGCCCAGCATTTTGCATGATGCTCTCTCATTTAATTTCTGTAACAATATTCATTGGAGTCTGTATTTCCCAACTATTCCCTCTCCAAACTAGACCAAACTAAATCCAGGAAGTAAAACCAAGATTCAAATTCCAACAAAAATTTAAGCCCACGATATTCAATCTAGAGACTCTGGTTAGCTTTGTGGGGTTTTGTTTGTTTTTTGGCCAAAAACTGAGGGACATATGGGATCTTAGTTCCTTAACAAGGGATGAAACTCGTGCCCCCTGCAGTGGAAGTGCAGAGTCTTAACCATTGAACCACCACGAAATTCCCTGGTTAGCTTTTTGAAAATGATTATTGAGGGGCAAGGAATAACCTCATTGTATTGGCTTAAAATCAAACCAAAGAAAGCTATTTTAGCATCTATACACATGATTATGAAATCCAACTTTTAACCTACCTTCTCTTTGTGAGGTGCGTGACATGTGTTTCTCAGAGGATGAATTAGAATCACTGTGATGACAAGGTGAACCAGAAACTCTAGGACCAGATGAACTTGACAAAGTGGTAAGATCTTGAAAATACAAAACATTCCAACAGTGAATGCTGGTAGTGTCTCAACTTTTTAATAATCTACTTGAGTCATGTTTTTAAAGTTCATCTGAAGCATGCCAAGTACATACCCACCTAAAAGTGGTCCATAAATAACTAAGATTGAGGTGGACAAGATATTTCTTTGGGATGTCCTGTCCATTCCAAGGCTTAGTCCCTTTCTAACACTCTTTACACCAATGACTTCCTTAAGTGAAATAAAAATGAAAAACCAAATAAACACAGGAACATCTTGAAAAGTAAAAGTGAAGTCGCTCAGTCGTGTCCGACTCTTCGCGACCCCATGGACTGTAGCCTACCAGGCTCCTCCATCCATGGGATTTTCCAGGCAAGAATACTGGAGTGGGTTGCCATTTCCTTCTCCAACATCTCAGGTTCCCCATTATTTCTGTAGTGAAATGGAATAAGAAAATTCAGCATGAATGAAAACTGAGCTGCTCAATCTGTTGTTTTATGTTAGAATAGCATCCAAACAGGCCCATTACTGAAAACATGAACAGATCTTCCTTAAAGCATACCAACAACTTCTATCATGCTTACTGAAATTATGTGAATACTATCTTTGAAATGCAATACAAACGTAACAATGAAATCTGAGAAAATAAAATGAATTATCAGATAGGGGAGTCTGATGTACTACTTCAAACAGCAGTCTCTACATCACACTTTTCTAATAGCCCCACACATCTGTGGGGACTTCTTATTAATCTAATTTCTTTTGATGGTATTAAGTATCAGAATTACCTTTAAGAGACAGAAAACTTTCTTGATTTTTAAGCAAAACATGCCAACTAGATATACTAAATCACTACTTCTCACTAAGCTTAAGTTGATTATTAATGTTTAACCTAACAAATTCTGATATTAAAAGGACTCTACTTACATGTTAATGTAATCTCTTGCTTGCAAATAAGCCGGTAAAACTTAAATTTCTACTTCAGCAATGAATTAGGCAACTGCAATACAATGAGGCCTATGCATTCCCAAAGATCTTCAAAAGTGGCCACATGCACAGAGAAAGATTCCAACCATTTGAAGCTGATTTTAAATGGCAATTCATCAGAAAGACGTAAAAAGATTGACAGTACTTTGGGCTATCACTAATATTTGATATAATGATGGTTTACAAACACTGATGAATATTTTCTGGCTAGCAGAAAGCTAAAAATTTTTTTTTAGAGTTTGAAGTTATTATTCCTAGATCATCTGTGCGGCACAAACTAATACTACATCAAAGATACATATAGATCATTATACTTCTTTGGGAAAAAAGCTCTCACTGAGCTTTCCAAAGAATGTCTTTTAATTTTCTTCCCTTCTTCCTGTTATCATTCTCAAAATAGAAATGCATACCATCCCCACGTCTGAAATTATTTAGAAAACTCTTTTAATCAAAAAAGGAAAGCTTACCTGAACTTGATGTTGTTCTTCTTGCCCTCAAAATGGGATAGCTGCCTACTTCTAAAGACTTGGTTAAGTCAAGATCATGCAAAATCAAGAGATATCCAGAGGACGTTGAGATCAACATTTTGGAACAATCTGGTGTTAATCTCATCCGCATGAGAAAACGTGTGTGAAAGAATTTCTTATGTGGACATCCATCTTCTGTACACCTTCAGAAGAAATCAAACCAACAAAACCTAGTTATCATAAACATTCAGTGATAGTTATATTTTTGCCCTTCCAACTAGAATTTACACTCAATGTATACTCAGACTTATACAGATGAAAAATTTTTGCTCACCATTCCTTTATCCATCTCTTTAATTTTTTAAAAAAAGATTATTCTTTTATTAAGTAAAACTTTGTTGAGGAAAACTCTCACTTTTTGTTGCTCTGAAAATCTTTATTTCACTGTTTTTGATTAAAAGTTTAGCTGAGCTTATCTATAAGGGTTGATAGTTATTTCTTTCTAAATAGGATAATATTTCATTGAGTTCTGGCTTCCATTGTTGTTATTTTATTATTTTTTTTTCCAACAATAATTATGATATTTATTTAAAGTAATACATTTACAGCCCAGATAGTTCTACATTGTACATTTCAGGTTTAACCAGCTTCATAAAAATACTTGAGAACAGCTGTACCCACAGATTTAGACTACTAAATTGCTTCTTTGCCCATTCTTCTCTCTCTTTTCTTTCCCGAATAACCTCTTTCAGATACGGTTCAAGGTAGAATTTATCCTCCTCATATTTTGTCCACTGCTCTTTAGGCAGGATCTGCTGCCTCATGCTGAGGTCCAGTGCTCTCTTAATGCGAAACACTGTGTCGTTATAAAGGTTCTCAGGAAGCCTTCTTATGGCTTCTTTTACACCGTCATTCTCATGTATTGTGTCATCTCGCATTAAGCCCAGTTTATTGAACCTGGCAGCGTTGTAATACCATTTTCAAATACCCTCCAGCCACCTGCTTGATGCTGAAACAGCTGGCCGGCCAGCCATGTTGACCTGACACCCATTATTGTTATTTTAAAGTTATCACTTGAATTGTTCCTTTGGATACTTTTTTCCCTTGACTAATCTTCCCTTGTCTTTGGAGTATTGCAGTTTCACTCTGACGTCTGTAAATGTTGATTTCTTATTATTGATCTTCACTGAGATTCGTTTGACTTTCTAAATCTTAAGATTCAAATTGTTTGTATATTCTGGAAGATTTTACATTGTTATTCCAATGTTGCCTCTCACCTATTTCTCAATTCTTTTGGAGTTTTAAATAGATACTTGAAACACTCCCATAAGACTCTTGTCTCATAACTGCTCTTTCATGTTTTCTATCTCCTCACCTCCATATATTGCCTTCTGGGTAATTTTTCAGTATCTCTCTTAATCTGTTGTATAAACTGTTTCTGCCACTTGTTTTTATGAATTTCAACAGTACTTTTTTTTTTAAACTTCTTTAAGTTCTATTTGGCTTTATTTCAAATCTGCATGATCTTTTGGATAGATTTTTATTCCTTGCCTAATATTTTTTATTCCCCATTTTATTTTCTTGTTAATTATTTTTAAAACTGTGAAATGTATCATCCTTACAGAAAAGTACATAGATAAAGCACTTGTAGAGTTTAAAGAAAAGTGAACATCTGTAACTCACCCCCCATGTTAAGAAGTAGAATAATACCAACACTTTAAAAGTCTCCTGTTTCTCTCCCCTTGTTGCATCCTTCAGTCAGCCTGCAGCGCTTCAAGCATGCAATGTCTTTTCTTATCTGAGAGTATAGTTTTTCTAAAATTTAAGTCTTCTTCTCCCTCTGTAGTCTCTATATTCCAAAGTATCTCCCCATTTGTTTAGGTCTTTACATTAGACACTTTTGTCAAATGTTTGATTATCTTTTGACTGTCTGCTCATAGTTAAGAGTGAGGAACTAAAAAGGTGACTGGGAATTCTGAGTGCAAGGGCAGGCTTGAGCTTCACTAAATAGGGAGACGCCATTTTTTGAGGAACTTCTAATTTCAGTATCTTTAGTTCAGTAGCTCAAAGAACTCTCAGGATCTCTGAATTCAATATTCAGTGTGCATATGGTTCTTTAGTCCCCCTGATTTTGGTCAGGTACTCAAAGCCTTCAACTGTGTCTGGCATCCTTTAATATAGAGGGATTTCTATTTTACCGTCTTTAGAGAATAAGATTTAAGATTTCTGCTGAAATACAAGGAGGTAAATCATCCAGCAGTATGGATTAAGAGAAGAGATGTAAGTTCTTAAATATCTTTCATTTAAATCCTTGTTTTAGCTACCCTTTCTACTACAGAGTACTCAGAGTTGCCAGTTCTTGTGATTTTTGAGGATTTTGTATAAACTGTCTTAAGTTCTTAACATTTTCCACTGCTAGTTTAGGATTCGGCTTTCTTGTACTTATTAAGTTTAAGTAAGTTGCTAAGATGGTTGTCACTCATCCTCCTGCTTTACAGATTTTAAAATTTTATTGTCATTGCTTTCTTTCCTGTTTCCCCATCTTACGAGTTTAGAGCCTTCATTTAAAGTTTGTTTGTATTTTAGAGGAATCTTTTCATTCACAGGCTCTATTTAGGTCTTATAATAATGTAAATAAAATTTTAGTTTTCCCCATAATGGTTATACAAATCTTCTGCTGTAATTTATTCCTGTGTACCAACTAAAATTTTTAAGAGTATTTTATTTATTTAATTTGGCCACACTACATGGCATACAGGGTCTTAGGTCCCAGACCAGGGATTGAACCTACTATGACCCTTACACTGAAAGCATGGAGTCTTAACCATTGGACCATCAGGGAAGTCCCCAGCTAAATTTTTTAATTATTAAAATTTATGTACTTAAAAATTTTAAATTACTTAAAGTGATATATAGGAACACTACTGATTTTTATATTTTGATCTTATATCAACAGTTGTATTAACTCTGATTCTAATAATTTGTCAGTAGAATTTCTAGGGTTTTCTATCTAGTCCATGTGTCTAAAAACTGTGGCCTATGGGCAAAATCTGGATTACTGCCTGTTTTTTTTTTTAATTAATTATTTTTGGTTGCTGGGTCTTCAGTGCTGCACATGGGCTTTCTCTAGTTGCAGCGAGCAGGGGCTTCTCACTGTGGTGGCTTTTCTGGTTGCAGAGCATAGGCGGCAGGCGCATGGGCTTCAGTAGTTGTGGTGCACAGGTTTAGCTGCTCTGTGGCATGTGGAGTCTTCCTGGACCAGGGGTTGAACTCGTGTCCCCTACAATGGCAGGCAGATTCCTAGCCACTGTACCACCAGGGAAGTTCTCATTGCCTGTTTCTATATAGAAAGTTTGTTGGAACACAGCCGTACTCATTCATGTATTATCTATGACTGCTCAGAGACAACAGAATGTGTGTGAATGCTAAGTCATTTAGCTTGTCTGACTTGTTGTGACCCCATTGACTGTAGCCCACCAGGCTGCTCTGTCCATGGGATTCTCCAGGCAAGAATACTGGAGTGGGTTGCCATTTCCTCCTCCAGAGGATCTTCCCAACCCAGGGGTCGAACCTGCATCTCTTAAGTCTCCTGCATTGGCAGGCAGGTTCTTTACCACTAGCGCCACCTGGGAAGCTCCAGTAGAACACACAAAGTCTAAAGTATTTATTACACAGTCGTTTATAGAAAGTTTGCCAGCCCCTGATATAGACAATCATATCATCTGTGAATGTTGTTTCATTTTTTCTTTTCCAAGCCTTATATATTCCAATCCTTATTTATTTTACTGCACCAACGAGGACCCTGCCTCCCTCCACACTAAAACAATAGTGAACAGTAATAGTAATAGCAAGCATGTTCTCCTTCCTGATTTTAAAGAGAAAACTTCTAAAATTTCACCATTTAAAAATGTGCTACAGGGTTTTAGTGCATACTTTTAATGGGTTTCCTTCTATGTCTAGCTAATTAACAGATTGTTTTTAACAGATTTATCATGGTATAATTTACATACCATAAAATTCATTCATTTTAAGTGTACAATGATTTTTTTTAGTAAATTTACTGAGTTGTGCAGTCATCAATATAACCTAATTTAGAACATTTTCATCACTTTAAAAATCCCTCTTCCCCATTAGTAGCTGCTCCGTTTCCGACTCCCAGGCACAGGCAACCAGTACTACTTCCTGTCTCTATAGATCTGCCTGTTGTTGACATTGCATATAAATAGAATCATACAGTAAACTGTCTTCTGGTTTAGCTTTTTCAATTAACTTTTCTGAGCTTCTTTGACACTGTAGCACCTAACAGTTTGTTCATTATCACATGTTATAGTATTCTACTGTATAAATACATCATCACAGGTTGTTCATCCTTTTACCAGTAGATAAGTATTTGAACTGGTTCTATTTTCTTCTGCCATTATGAATAATACTATTATAAGCATTCTTTGTGCAGACATATGTATTCATTTCTCTTGGGTAGATACCTAGAAGTGGAATTGCTGGATCACATGGCAACTCTTATGTTTAACATTTTAAGAAGCTGCCAAACTGTTTTCTTTTTAAAACGGCCATATCACTTATTTTCCTACAGTAAGCAAATGTGAGGTTCTGGTTTCTTCACACTCTTGCCAGCTTCTGTTGCTGTCTTTTTGGTTAGAGCTATCTTATTGAATATGAAGTGGTATCTTATTTCAGTTTTAATTTGCATTTCTTTTAAGACTAATGATGTCATACATCTATCCAGGTGCTTATTAATCATTTGTATATTGCCCTTGGTGAAATGTCTATGTAAATATCTCGCCTATTTTTAAAGTGGGTTATTTGTATACATATAAGTGAGCTGGAAGTGTGTTCTTTATACATTCTGGACATAAATCCTTTAAGTAAATGTGATCTACAAATATGCTATCCCATTCTGTAGTATTTCTACAGAAATATTTAGTGTCATTTGATGTACAAAGCTTTTTAACTTTAATGAAGTCCATTTTATCAATTTTTAAAATCAGTTTGGTGTTGTATGAAAATTCACTCACATGTTTTCTTCTAAGAGTTATATAGTTTCAGCTCTTACGTTCAGGTTGAAATCCATTTTGAATTCATTTCTGTGATGTGAGATAATGGTCTAAATTCATCTCTTTGCATGTGGGTATCTGGTTGCTCATATCATTTGTTGAACAGACTATCCTTTCCTGAACCACTGAATTACCTTAGCACCTTTGTTGAAAATCAGCTGATCATAAATGTAAGGGTTGATTTCTGGACTCTCAATTTTGTTCCCTTAATTTATGTTAGATATCTATCCTATGCCAGTACCATCTTGCCTTGATTACTATGGCTCTGTAGAAATTTCTGAAATCAGGAAGTGTGAATTTTCCAAATTCATTCTTCCTTTTGAAGACTGTTTTGGTTATTCTGGGTTATTTGTATTTCCATACAAATTTTAGAATTGGTTTGACAATTTTTCCAAAAACAAGGCAGCTAGAGTTGATAGGGATTGCACTCAATCTATATATTAATTTGAGAGAATTGCCATCTTAATGATATTGAGATCCATGAGCATGGAATGGTCTCTCCATTCACTTATATCTTATATTTTATTCTTTTTGATTCTATTATGAGTGGAATTTTTCTTTTCATTCTTTTTTGGACTGTTCATTGCTCATGAACAGAAATACAGTTTTATATATGAATCATATATCTTATGACCTTGCTGAACTTATTAGTTCTAGTAGTTTTGTGAATTCAAACTTTTTAATATATAAGACCATATCTTATATAGATAATTTTACTTCTTTCTTTCCAATCTAAATGCCTGTTATTTTTCTTGTCTGAATGTACTTTCCGTGCATGTCCAGTAAGATGTTGTATAAAAGTGGTAAGAGGAGGCATCCTTGCCTTGTTCCCAGTCTTAGTGGGGGTGTTTTTAGTCTTTCAACACCGAGTATGATTTGAGCTGTAGGCTTTTTATAGCTGTCCTTTATCAAGCTGAAAAAGTTCCTAAGAGTTTCATCACAGATGGTGGATATTGGATTTTGTCAGGTGTTTTTCCTGCCTTGGATGATTGTATATATAGGCTTTGACCTTTATTAATATATTACACTAATTGATTTTTAGACGTTTAACCAACCCTATCTATATTCCTGGAATAAATTCCACTGGTTGTGACATATAATCCCTTATATATGTTGCTAGGTTATATTTGCTAATATTTTGTTGAGAATTTTTATCAAACTATCAGGAGAAGGATATTGGCCCGTAGTTTTCTATTCTTATGATGTTTGTCTGGGTTGGTATCAGAGTAATACTAGCCTCATAAAATGAATTGGTAAGTGATCTCCCTTCCTCTCTATTTTCTGTAATACTTTGTGAAAGATTGATATTATTTATTCTGTAAATGTCAGGTAAAATTCACCAAACTTCATAAGTGAAGACTTATGAGCCTGGGCTTTTCATTGCGGGAAGATTTTTAAATTGCCAATACAATTTCTTTACTTGCTATATAGGTCAGTAGGTCTAGAGATTTTGTTTGCTCTTGAGTTAGTTTAAATAATTTGTGAGTCTGCAGGTACTTGTTTATCTAAATTGTCTGATTTGTTGCCATAAAGTTGTTCATTATGTTCCTTTGTGGGGCTTCCCTGATGGCTAAGTGGGTGAAGCATCTGCCTACAATGCAGGAGACACAGGAGTCATGGATTCAGTCCCTGGGTTGGGAAGATCCCCTGGAGGAGGAAATGGCAACGCACTCTAGTATTCTTGCTGGGAAAATCCCATGGACAGAAAAGCCTGGTGGGCTACAATCCAAAGAGTTGCAAAGAGTAGGATACAACTGAGCAACTAAGCACGTATTCCTTTTTAATCCTTTTAATTTCTGTAATGATGTACCTTTTGTTTTAATTATGAATGATTGTTGAATTTTATTCTTCAGTTGACACAGTCATAAAGATTTATCTATTTAATCTGTTAATGTGATAAATTATACGAACAGAATTTCTACTGATAAGTTGTCTTTTCATTTCTAGAATAAACCGAAAGTGGTCATGATTATTTTGATTAATTTCTTACAGGATCTTTTTTTTTTAGAATATTCACATCTACATTCATATTACAGACTGAACTTTCATTTTGAATTTAGGTATCAAGGTCACACCAGCTTCATACCTAAGGTAAGGAGAATTCCATTTTTCTGCAATCTGGACAGTTTAATAAAATTGGAATGTTCTGTTTCTTGTAATATTTGGTAGTAGTCACCTGTAAAACTGACATGCTGCTGTTTTATTAGTAGATATGTTTTAATTGACTTTTTTTTTTTTTCTCTAATGGTTAAAGCAGAGGTGATGTCCAGAATATTTAAATAACCAGCCCTGCATGAAAACTAGCCAGAGTTGATGCTGGAATTGGATCCTGAGTTCCAGAGTTTCAGTGCTGGAACTGGATCCTGCAATTAGCTTACTATGTAAGAGGGACTTTGGCTACTAGATCATAAAGAGAGATCTTGAGGGAGGTATCTCCAGAGAGGTTCGAGGGTACCCAGAAGGTGCTAGGATATGACACCTGAGGATGATTCATGACAGTAACTATCTATTAGTTTGGAAGAAATTCAATCTTTTAACAACCTTTTCAGCTGAACCAGTGCATAATGGTTAAATATCTGTCCTGGTAATGTCTACTTAAGGTTTTCTATTTCTTCCTTGATCACTTCTGCAAAGGTGTATTTTTTTGGGTAATCTGTCAGTTTCATCAAAGTTTTCAAGTATACTGGCAGAAAAGTGATCTTATTATTTTATTCTATATTGTATTTTTTATTGTCTCTCATTGTTAAGATTGTGTCATCTCTCTTTTTTCCTTAATGTATCTTACCACAGAAGAACAAGCTTTTAAAAAATCTTTATTGTACTTTCATTTTCTATTTCATTAATTTCTGCTTTTATCTTAATCATTTCTATATATCTACTTTCATCAGATTTACTTTTTTATCTTTTTCAAGTTTTTTGAGTAAGATGTTTAGTTCATTAATTTTTAGTCTTAGTTCATTAACTTTTAGTCTATCTTTTTGACTTCATTATGACTTTTTTCTTTGATCCATCAATTATTTAGGATGTAAGTTTATAGGTCTCCAAACCTGAGAATTTTAATTTACCTGTAGTTAATTAAACTGTACTGAGGTCAAAGAAAAGATTTGTGTGATAACAATTCTTTGATACTGGTTGAGACTTATTACTTTGTAGTCCAGAACACACTCAATTTTTGTACATGTTCAAACTCTGCTTCAGAGGATGTATTCACTATTATTTGGCAGCAGAATTCTACATCTGCCAACTAAGTCAACATTATTAATAACATTAAAATCTTCTAAATTAAAAAATAATTAGTTCTAAGTTTAAACAGATATGCTTGTCTTTTTTTTTTTGATATGCTTGTCTTAAAAATAATCAGTAGCTCTACGCTTGGCTCAAACACTGTGCATAACTAGAAATGTTTAAGAATATTCCCCTAGTTTTACATATGAGCTCTAAAAGTAATATCTCAGAAATGTTATAATTATTTCCCAAACTTCAGCTCTTTCAGTTCTCTATCAGGAGATACCCTATCGAAGTGTTTCACAATACAGGCATTAGTGACAATTTAGATGGGATGACGGGTCCACTGTGCAAACTACCTCATGCACTGCAGGGTGTTTACAAACTCTGATCTCTGCTGACTAAATCTAAGTAGGAATCCTCTTCTCTTCTCCTGTAGTGACAACTAAAACTGCACCACACATTATTTCTAAACATTCCCCTAACATCAGTATTACTCTGAGAAACTACTCTTTTAATGCATGAAAACAAACTTCAAAATTTACAAAATAGATTTAGAATTGAAGGATCAAAGGAAAACATTTCAGTTCCAAGAAGGAAATAACAAAATATTTTTCCTTAAATTCAGGAAATTCATCTTATAAACCAGTTTTCATCATTAACTTGGTCTTGGTTAAGTATTTGGTACTTGGTCTCTTTTCTACATAATTTTCTCCAAATTTTTTAGTCACGATATATGACTAACTGCAAAGAAGTAAAGACAGAATCACTTTTTGATTGTTTTCCCCAAAGCTAGTTTCTTTCTTCTAAAGAAACATGAGAGCTAAGACAGAACACTGAGGTTTTTTTTTTACCATTTTAAAAACATTTTTTTGTTGTTCATAATCCTAACATAGTCTCCTATTCACAAACCTGTTGGTGTCCCAAATAATGACATTTCCATCAAATCCTGACGTTACTAAGAGTCTTGTATTAGTATCATATTCGATGTTCTTCACCCAGCTAGTGTGACCATGTAAAGTGCATACTTTCGTGTTCAGTTTTCTCAGATCCCACAGGGCTATTGTAGTGTCATCAGAACAGGTAGCAAACAGCCGGTTATCAAGAAATCTACAAAGCAGAAAAGAAAAACTGGTTTATTTAATCTCTTATTAAGGAAAACTGCTACGTTACCTAATCAAGAAAACAAACCAAAGGACTACAAACTCACTGTACAAACCCAGTGATTCTAATATATAATAGTAGTAAGTATATTTCACATAACCAGAGGATACTAGGAGTTAATGAGGACCATGTTGTAATTTTATCTACTTGTGTTAAATTATTTTATTGAAAACCAGGAATAGAGGTGGGTGTTTAAAGAACAGTGCTAGAGAAAATGAATTTTAGAATCTGTATAGAAAACACAAATGGTAGACAATAGGAGACAAAGGAGATTTTGAATACTTAATGCAGGTGAAACATGTTAAGCATAAAACTGTTCAAAATTATGACAGATATTTACTTTACTACAAATAACATCACTTTCTATTTAGTGTACATTTCTCTTTAAAATATATTTACATATAAAAATTTTTAATCAAAGTGACAGTGTTAAAAAAAAAAAAAAACAAAGTGACAGTGTTTAGTCACTCAGTTGTGTCCTACTCTTTGTGACCCCATGGACTGTAGCCCACAGGGTCCTCTGTCCATGAAATTCTCCAGGCAAGAATATTGGAGTGGGTTGTCAGTCCCTTCTCTAGGGGATCGTCCTGACCCAGGGATCGAACCTGGGTCTCCTGCATTACAGGAAGATTCTTTATCAATTGAGCCACCAGGAAAGCCCAATTAATTCAAAGGCATTCCCCAAATAATCTCACTTCTAGGACAACGAAGAAGAAATGGAAAAAATTCTTAAAAAGGTACAGTCTTGAACCAAGATTGAACCAGGAAGAAATAGAAAATATGAACAGATCAATTATCAGTAATGAAATTCAATCATAATTTTAAAAGTCCTCACAGGGAATTCCCTAATGACCCAATAGTTAGAACTCTGCTTTCACTGCTGAGGGCCAGGTTCCATCCCTGGATGGGGAACTAAGATCCTGAATGCCACATGGCACAGCCAAGTAAATAAATAAATAAATAAATATATTTTAAATTTTTTAAATAAAAATAAAAACTCCCCATAAACCAAAGTCCAGGACCAAATGGCTTCACAGGTGAATTCTACCAAACATTTAGGGAAGAGTTAAAATCTATCATTCTCAAACTATTCTAAAAAACTGCAGAGGAAGGAACACTCTCAAACTCATTCTATGAGTTAGTACCCTGATACCAAAACCAGTCAAAGATATCACACATGCACACAGTAATTACAGGCCAGTATCACTGATAAACACAGATGCAAAAATCCTCAACAAAATATTAGCAAACTAAATACAATATGAAAAGGATCATACAACATGATCAAGTCAGATTTTATCCCAGGGATGCAAAGATTTTTCAATATCCACAAATCAATGAGTGTGATAAACCACCTTAAGAAACTGAAGAATAAACACCATATGATCATCTCAACATATGCAACCAAAGCTTTTGATAAAGTTCAGCATCCATTTATGATTAAAAACTCTCCAGAAAGAAGGTATAGAAGGAATCTGGCTTAATATAAGGCAATATATGACAAAGCCACAGCTAACATCATACGCAATGGTGAAAAGCTGAGGGCATTTCCTTTTACCACATTATCGATCAGAGACATATCAATATGTCTTTTGTTACCCAAAAATTGTTTACCAGAGACATTTCAATATTCATTTACATAACAAATTACTAGTCACAGGCATTAGTTTCTGCAAAATCCCCCAGTCAATAAGGTGTTAAGATCAGAAACAAAACAAGGATGTCCATTTTGAAGTCCTAACCACAGCAATTAGAGATGAAAAAGAAATAAAGGACTCCAAATAGGAAAAGAAAAAGTAAAACTCACTGCTTGCAGATGACATGATACTACATAACAGAAAATCCTAAAGATATCACAGAAAACTATTAGAGCACATCAACAAATTTGGTAAAGTTGCAGGATACAAAATATACAGAAATCTGTTGCAGTTCTATATGCTAACAATGAACTGTCAGAAACAGAAATTAAGGAAACAATCCATTTACCATCATGTAAAATAAACAGCATAAAATACCTAGGAATAAACCTACCTAAGGAGATAAAAGACCTATACTTAGAAAACTATAAAACACTGATGCAAGAAACTGAAGATGAGAAGACAACACAGAAAGATATGTGTCCTTGGGATAGAAGACCTACTATTATTGTTAAAATGACCATACTGCCCAGGACAGTCTACAGATTCAGTGCAATCCCTATCAAGATGCCAGTGGCATTTTTCACAGAACTAGAACAAATAATTTTAAAATTTGTATGGAAACACAAAGACCCCAAATAGCCAAAGCAGTCTTGAGAAAGAACAGAAGTGTGAGAATCATGCTCTCTGACTTCAGACTATCCTTTGCTGTGCTTAGTCACTCCTTGTGTCCGACGCTTTGCGACCTCATGGACTGTAGCCCTCCAGGCTCCTCTGTCCATGGGGATTCTCGATGCAAGAATACTGGTTGGGATCTTCCCAACCCAGGGATCGAACTTAGGTCGCCAGCACTGCAGGCAGATTCTTTACCATCTGAGCCACCAGGGAAGCCCTCAGACTATACCGCCAAGCTACAATAGTCAAAGCACCATAGTACTGGCACAAATCACACACAGATCAATGGAACAGGATGGGCAGCCCAGAAATAAGCCCACACACCTATGGTCAATTAATCTATGAGAAGGAGGCAAGAATATACAATGGAGAAAAGACAGTTTCTTCAATAAGTAGTGCTGGAAAACTAGACATCTAAGAGAATAAAATTTGAACATTCTCTAACACCATATACAAAAATAAATTCAAAATGGATTAATGACCTAAATGTAAGACCAGATACTATAAAACTCCTAGAGGAAAACATAAGGCAGAACAGTGTTTGAAATAAAACACAGTATTTTTTTTTTTTTTGGAATCTGTCTCCTAAAGCAAAGGAAACAAAAATAAATATAATCTAATTAAACTTAAAAGTTTTTGCACAGCAAAAGAGACCATAAACCAAATGAAAAGACATGAGAGAAAATATTTGCCAATGATTTGACCAACAAGGGATTAATCCCCAAAATATACAAATAGCTCACACAGCTCAAAATCAAAACAACCCAATCAAAAAAATGAGCAGAAAATCTAGACATTTCTCCAAAGAGGGCATACCAATGGCCAAAAAGCACATGAAAAGATGCTAATCTTTTGAAAAACATGCTGGACACTGCTAATTATTAGAGAAATGCAAATCAAAGCTACAATGAGGTACCAATTAGAATGGCCATCAACAAAAAGTCTACAAACAATAAACGCTAGAGAGGGTGTGGGAAAAAGGGAACCCTCCTACACTGTTGCTGTGAATGTAAACTGGTACAGTCACTATGGGGTAGTATGGAGGTTCCTTAAAGTCTAAAAACACAACTGCTATATGATCCAACAGGCCCACTCCTGGGTATATATCCAGGAAAAAACCATACTTTGAAAATATTTGGAACATGCACCCCAATGTTCATTGTAGCACTATTTACAACAGCTAAGACATGGGAGCAACCTAAATGTCCAGTGACTGGTGAATGGATAAAGAAGATATATAAATACAGGGTTGGCCAAAAAGTTCATTTGGCCAATCCAATATAATGGAATACTACTCAGCCATAAAAGGGAAAGAAAGAATGCCATTAGCAGGGGCATACAAATGAGGTATACCAATGGCCAGAAAGCACATGAAAAGATGCAAATCTTTTGAAAAACATGCTGGACACTGCTAATTATTAGAGAAATTATTATTATACTAAGTGACATTATTATACTAAGTGAAGTGTCAGAAAGAGAAATAACACATGATATCACTTACATGTGGAATCTAAAATATGGCACAAATGAACCTATCTACAGAACAGAAACAGACTCACAGACACAGAGAACAGACTTGTGATTGCCAAGGGGTGGGGGTGCTGGGCAGAAGGATGGACTGGGAGTCTGGGGTCAGTGGATGCAAACTAATATATTTAGAATATGGATAAACCACAAGGTCCTGCCTGTATACGCTGTATAGCACAGGGAACTATCTCTAATCTGGTGGGATGAGACATAGTGGAAAAGAACATAGAAAAAGAATGCATACCTGTGTGTAACTGAGTCACCCACAGAGCAGAAACTAGTGCAACTTGTATAAATCAGTTATACTTCAAATTTAAAAAAAAAGACGTGGTACATATATACAATGGAACCTTATTCAGCTGTAAAAAAGAATGAAATACTCTAGAATTCAGTATAAAAAAACAGATGCATAGAAATAATACAAATATTAAGAAACATAAATAGAAAAAAAAAGAATGAAATAATACCAGTTGGAGCAACATGAATGGTCCTAGACAGTATCGTGCACACATGCTCAGTTGTATCCAACTCTTTGTGATCCCATGGATTGTAGCCCACCAAGCTCCCCTATACGTGGAATTTTCCAGGCAAGAATACTGGAGTAGGTTGCCATTTCCTTCTCCAGGGGATCTTCCTGACCCAAGGATTGAACCTGTGTCTCTTGCACCTCCCGCCTGGTAGGCACATTCTTTACCACTGTGCTACCTGAGAAGCCCTAGAGATTATCATACTAAGTAAAATAAATCAGTCAGAAAAAGACAAATACCATATAATGTCACTTATATGTGTGGAATTTTAGAAAAATGATATAAAGGAACTTATTTACAAAACAGAAATAGACTCACAGCCTTAGAAAACAAGCTTATGGTTACCAAAGGGGAAAGGGGGTAGGAGTTTGGGATTAACATATACATACTACTACACATAAAACATAACAAGGACCGACACATACATATACACATACATACATACACGTAACTATATATATATAAAAAACCTAAGCTACTTTGCTGTACACTTGAAACTGATACAACATTGTAAACCAACTATAGTCTAATATAAACTAAAAATTGTTTTAAATGAAAAAAGGACTTAGGGCTGGAAGGC